GAGACTTTCTGATGATAACTCATTCAGACGTGTACCAATGTCGTTTTCAGATCTTTTGATTTAAATTACAAGTTGATCCTTACGCTTATGCGCCAAGGGTATCAGAAAAGAGAATTGTGAAAAATACAATTTCCGATTAATAAAGACCCATTGATTTGTTCATTTTTTAATTTGAACTGATTTTAACAAAGTAGAAGGCAAGTTGACTTTAAATTATGAAAAAAATGTCGTGTTTAATTTATTTCCTCAAATTTATCGATCATTTTAGAAACTTTTCAATGCAACCTAGTGACCCATGAGAAACCTTCGGTTAGTCTAACTGAGGATGAAGGATATTCCGCATTACCTCCCAGAAATTTTGCCGGATTTACAAAATAGGAGTGCCTTTGCACATGAAATTCTCCACTCCATCTATGGAAATTCCTACTTCAGTTCTCATCGCATCGCGTGGGTTCGAATTATCCTCATCATTCTCTACACACTATTCGCTTTCATTGGTGTCACTACAAACACAGCTGTTGTGTTTTTTCTGCTTATTTGGCATCCGAAATCCCTACGGAACATTACGAATCGTTTTGTTCTTGCCCTAGCTATTTCCGATATTATAATGTCGGGATTTAATATGCCGATGCAGGCTTACTACGAGATGGAGGAGCATGTCTTCTTCTCCGACATTGCTTGTCGGCTTATTTTTTCTACTTTTGGTCTTCCAATGCATATATCGTGTCTAGTTATTCTCGTAATTGGAATTGATCGCTATCGAATCATTGTCTACCCTCTGCAAAGGCGTATGCCACGGGGTGCAGCCTCTCTCCTACTCGTTGGAATATGTCTCATAAGTGTCATCAGCGTAATACCAATTGCTGTTTTTAATAAAAGCATGCAGCCTGAATTTAATAATGCAAAGAAAATACCGACAAATCATCACTACTGTGTAGAGGATTGGCCTTCGGAAAAGATTCGGCTGAGTTACTCTGTTTTTACCTTTACAGTCCAGTTCTTTCTTCCCCTTCTCCTGACAGCTATCCTCTATACTCGTATATACTTCCGCCTTCATGAACGTCGTTTTCGTAAACGGGACCTAGAGCGAAAGAAAAGAACAAATAAAATTTTGATAGCAATTGTCATATGTTTTTTTATATGCTGGACCCCATGGAATGTATTCTCTATCATTCTGGAAGTGCATGCTTATCGTAATCCAAAACGGCCTTACACACTTTTTCCATTCGATGATGATGATGATAGGAGTATGGGTAAAATGATGGATTTACAATACCTACTATCGCCGCAATTAAACAAGCTTTTGTTACATCAGGGTGGCATTAATAACTCCAATAGAATTCCAAGATCCTTTTCTGGAGAGTACAACATTTCCGAATTTGTGCCACAATCAGATATTCTACTTGGTGGCCATGCCAAACTCATTGATCTTATTTTAAAACTCCTTGCTATGTGTTCCGGTTGTTTAAATCCTTGTCTATATGGATGTATGACCGATACAATGAGATTGCTCATGAAAAGAATAGCAATTAGATTCCAAAGGAAGCGTCATAATGGTCAAACTCGACTGCATGGAAGCTTTCGTGGCTTGCCAGAACTTTTTAATTCTGATCGAAGTCTTCTAAAGACCAAACCTTCGTGCACGTATCAGAAAGCCACATTCGGGAAGGTGTTATATAACATTCACTGTTGTGGATTTCAATTTATTGTTCGAACTGCTTTCCGCCGACACAAGGAACAAGCAAGGATTATGCTTGATGGGAAAAGGAAGTCAGAATCTTTGGAACCAAAAACAACATCTTCAATTAAACGAATTCGCCGATTGCAGAAATGTTCTACCAACGACAAGATCCCACCATATTCTAGTGGCAATGAGGAACCACTAGCCGGAGATCAGACATTTGCTAGCTGCCAGAGTGTTCAAAGTCCGGTGTGCATTCAGGAACTGAACTACAATTTGCAACCCCTTGATCCTGGAAGTATCTCCTTTCTTCACAGAGAAAGCGGCACTTTAAGCATTATTGAGAGTTCCACCAAACGTACCAGTCTTCTACCCTCTTCCTTCTATGACAAGACTCCCAGAAGTTCTTTTCTAGTGGATGGTTTGAAATCACCAGATGGAGCAACACATTTCTTCAGTAATGAGCAACCTTTCTTAAGAATTTCGAAAATTGCTCCTGCAGTCACTGTTTCCGAACGCGATTCTTCTGGAGAACTTGAACCTTGTACTGCTGATAATCCGAAATCACAGAATTCTTCCATTAATCGCAATCAGAAGCTCGTAAATATTCAGGTTTATTCACCCCCACCATGCATGTGCTCACCTCTGAGTGATTCATTTTGTAGAAGGAGTTCCTGTATTGGAGTGCCGAAGGCAGGCAGAACTTTGGCTCCATTAGAAGAAGTATCAGTGGGTGGTAATTTAGGTGAATCTATCGCTTCGCCAAAAGAGGAAGGAATAAGGCCAGCAATTTTGTCGACTGCACCGGCAACGAATGCCTCCAATAAATGCGCAGAAACAAAGCGCGATATTTATAAAAGAAGTGTTTCAATAAGTTGTGATAAAGAAACCTCTCGTTTTCCCTCGTCTGTGAGTAAACGACGATCCTTTCAGTTACGTCGACAGAGCGCTTACGAGTCATTGAAAGTGAAGAAGTCCCCACCTCCATCGATAAAGAGTAAAGCTTCACTTATACCTCCTAGAGACGATTCAATGGAGAGTGAATCCGCGGTAAGTGATGATTTTTCTCACTTTCACAAAATGGTGCTACAAGATGAGAGATTAAAAGCTAACCTAGCTCCGAAGAAGCCTCGAAAGTCGTATTCAACTACTATGGCTCTTGGTACATCAGCTATGGAATCCCAACAACGAAAGCCCATCTTCTACTCTGTCCGATCCAATCGAACGGGCACGTCAATCAAATTGATCACCTCCGCGTCAAAGGTCAAGGTTAAGATTAACAATGAGGTTATGATCGCATGACCTAATCTTGGCCTTTATCTAATTCTGTTAATCTTTTCTGCTTTATTTTCTATTCATGAAGTTGAAGTCCTTTTATTCTCCCCTCACCTTTGATATCAACCACTGTGATGGTCGCTAAATGGTGTTTTTACCGCCATAATAAAATAAAAAACATTAAAAAAACTTTAAAAAAAGATTCTTTTATCGATTAATTTTAATAGTCCAGAGTATAAAGATACACATGTGCCCGTCTTTTAAATTATTAGCAAATAATTAACAGATTGGTTCTTACTATAATTGAATTAGAAAGAGATTTTAATCCAATTTATGGAAAGGCTCCCTTGTGGTTCACTAACGAGCAATCGCCAAATTATGTATTTATTTATTATGATTTCAATACAACTTTTCCACATTAGAAAAAAATGAGAGATTCCAAATGGAAGTACCAAGAACATTGAAAAGTAATTCAACAGCAGAATTCAAAGGCAGGCACTGCCCTGAAGTAAGCTGGTGAAATATAAAATACATAGTTATTTTCATGAATAATAATAACACCGATAGTAATGATTAGGAGTGAGATTGCTTTCCTAAAAGGGGAAGATAATTTGAGAGTCGACGAGATTAATGATGAAAGAATGTCTTGTTGTGTCCCGAGGTATTTGGAGGTGAATATTGGTTACAGTGACTTCCGGTGTCCTAAAGAAAGTGTTGCATTGTTGTAATATGACATTTCGAATTCTTTTCATTGTGTTGGACAACTGTCTTCCTGAATCCGTTTTTTACAGAGCATTGAGTGCCTTTGATATTCTCCCTATCAGAACATTTTTTGGAAAGAGGAGAGTTTGGAATTGGGATGACTGAAAGCATATACTGTCAAACGACAAGAGTACTTAAAAATTGCATTGTTAAAGAAAAAATTGTCCACACATCTATGCTTACAATGTCTCCACCATGAGCATAAGGACCAACAAATACGTATTGTGATTTAGCAACAGTTCAACTATACTATTAATCCGCTTTGTTTGCCCAAACGTAATTTAATTTTGTACAGCTTAGCTGTAAGTGCATTTCAACCAATTTGAAGGTCATATCATAACTAAAGGCTGATTGGACCCCTAGATGATCCATAGCAAATTGGAGAGAGTTGTAAATCCATTTAAACATTTGTCATCTAATTAGTAAAGTAAAGTGAGATTCTATTCGCGAAATGTGCACAAAATGTGCATTTATTGATATCAAATGGCAGGGTTTACGATAGTTATCGATAACATCCTAGTTGACTTTGAGCTTCACAGTGAGGAGGAACACCAAAGCCACAAAAGTCGAGAGGGGAGGGGAGTAACAGAAGAGTGATTCACAAATGTAAAGGAAACAGACACAAAGGTTTTAGAAAAAGATAAGGTGAAGTGAGTACTGCAAAAGTGATGGAATATGACATACAGTCAAGTCATGGTAGTTTGAAGCCTGAAGCCAACTATCATTTTAAAGACTTTTTGTCGTATTAGTATATATTGACCAGTGAGCACCACGTGGAGGTAAGTCTATCGCACACCCAATGCGCAAAATATGGAAAGTACTAATTTGTAAATTATTAAAAAACGGTGAAACAAGACGATAAAGTAGTCTGAAACAAATACTGATCCATTTATATAAAAGTTGTTCTCAATAAATTTCACATTCCCATTGGAAAAGAGAAATAGGTTTTTGCCCATAACTAAAAAATTTAATAAAATAAAAAGCCATTTAAGAGACACGGAAATACGTTTACTCAATATAGCTGCTAAAAACCGCAATTTATGTGTTTAATAGTCTCAATGCAGCCCAAACTTGATTTGAGGTGATTTCATAATTTTCCTGGAAGGGATTTAAAAAATGATATCGATCTATCCATTAACCTGACTGTGGGGTGCGCGATGGACTTACCTCCATGTGGTTCACACTAGCCAACGAATACTCATACGACAAAAAGTAAATAAACCGACAGTTGACTTCTGACTTCAAACTACCGCCACTTCCAGGGTACTCATCTCACCTTATCTTCTTCTCTACCTTTGTTTTTCGCCTACTTTTGACTTTGGTGTTCCTCCCCTCTCTGAAGGTCGAAGCCGATTTGGGGGGCCATTGATATTTGTCATGCACCCTGTCATTTGATATAAATTAGATTAGATTGTTTCGCATGGAGTTTAGCGCTTTCCTCAACAACGTTTAATGAATGCGTAATAGTCTATCAGGTTAAGATCTGGATTGAAAGGGGTGGGGGTGGAGTTTGGAGTGTCGCCTTAAAAATTGGCAACAAACCACTTTTGAGTCCCTGTGGGGGAGGGGGATGCCCGAAGCCTCCTGCTTGTTAAGGTGCCTATCATTCCAAGGCTTGACTACTAAGTTGTTGGCCATTCCACGGAGGCCACTGAGTTAAATATGCGAGGGAGGCATCAAATCACTCTTAGCATATCCAAAACACCATGCCAGCTCTGTGACATTGAGTCTGTATGGCTCTATGCTTATCAAGCCGGGGTTTGCGATAGACTTACCTCCACGTGGTGCACCCTGGGCAACGTATACTCATACGGCAAAAATGTCTATCAACCGGCAGTTGACTTCTCACTTCAAACTACCATCACCCCATTGTGTCATATTTGACTACTTTCACAGTGCTTGCCTCACCTTTTTTCTACCTTTGTGTCTGTCTCTTTTGCATCTTTGAAACACTCTTCTTTTTCCAACCCCCTCTCGACTTTTTCCACTCTGATGTTCCTTCCCCTCTGTGAAGCCTGAAATCAACTAATGGGCTAATGATAACTATCAAAACACCTGCCATTTGATATAAATAAATAAGTTGTCGATTGGTGTTTTAGATACCCACTCATTTTCATTACTATGCTTTGTGACTCACACCCGCAATCCAAATATGCCTTTTCTTTCTTGTGGGTTTTGACATGGTAATTACTAAGGCTAAGTGAAGGCTAATTCGAATGGTAATCGGCAACAAATTGGCGAAGCAAACCAGTCAGTCCGATGCCCAGGGTTCAAATCTTTGCATTTCATCCATTTGGAAGTGTCTCTTGGGGCGATTGCACAGGTCAAGCCACTGTTACTGAAATTTCGAATACTTAAAATTTTACTGTCTAGTCTAATCGAAAACTCGATATATCTAAGTTGCTAATGCAAAAGCCAAGAAGTTGGTAGTCCAATATTATTTTTAAAAATTAACAATTTTGTTCGATTTTCCAATTATTAATGTCTGAGGGTATGAGCAAAGCAGGATCGATGTCAGATTTTAGGGATTGGTTTGCACACTCATTTCAAGTAATTAAGTTGATAGAGGTATGCATTTTAACTCGATTAACTGCCTTTATCGGGATATTGCATAGGTTCAATGTGAGTAAGATTTTGGATCTTAATCTAGATGGAACAAATTGGACACATTTTGCAAGCGGATTTGTTCAATTTAGAGTCCAAAATAGGAGCTTAATGTGGATATTGGTCAGTTCTGTCCGCATTATCCAAGATCAGTTATCGGCCTTGCTGCAAAGAATGACAAAATCTTCATTCTTCTTGAGGCCGAATTCTCTCTTCCAGACGCATTACGGACGCTATGACCAATCATATCTACCGAAGTTAACTACAGGATGTGAGTTAATAAAGATCTATTTCAATTGCAATTCCTCCTCCGTGTTATTCAACGTCATATCCATTAGTGAATCAACCAATGTGAAGGCCTATTTTTTGCTTTTTCCAACAATGGAAATTTATATTTTCCCCTATTTTCTCCCAAGGACATTTAGTGGACGAACGCACTGTGACAGAAGTAGATGGTGCATGTAGAAGCATAGGAAATCATTCGTTGTCCTATTAAATCACCCTCTTTTAAATCCCCAGAGAAAATTCGCAGATAGGAAAATGATTTAACTTGTGAATTTGATCGGTGATGAATGGCTTTGTTGAAGCGGTTTAAATGTATTTGTGCATTTCATTGGCTTGCGTTTTACGTGCTTCTGACTATTTATGCTACCCGAGACGTTTGCGCTTATCCTTGATGCAGCGAGATTTCATGCTTACTTCCAACATCTCTAACGCCTATAGACGACAATATGCTCTCTCAAGTCCTCAAAGCACACACCTGGTTTGTAATGAGGAAGCACAGCAAAAAAGACAATTCGTTACTTTCCGCTTATGACAAAAAATCATCCTGCTAATGCGCATTTGGCTAGGCACTAGATGTACCAGAACCAAATTTACTTCAGTCATCAAAATTTACAATTCAATCTCACCTTCACTTCCATTCCTGTCTTACGTTAAATTTTTGTCTGTATTCCCGATTTGAGATGTAAGGCATTAGGTAGTCTTGAAGACACTTCTTGTCCATATGAGTTCGGTTTAGACTTACACAGTTTAAAAGCGCACAAGATACTCTGCAGTGAGATAATTTACAAAGATGGTCCATTCCACCTCCCCCTCTCCCCTCCCCTCCCATTACCAAAATAAGGCTTTCTTCGGTTACAGATGCGCTATATATCGTGATGGCATACCCGTTAAAATGAGGGAAGTCAGCCAATTCAACGGCTGGCATACTCTACTGATGTACTCTGAGAATGAAACGTGATTCCAAAGAAGAAGCAGGCCCTCTTGCACGTATCGGCTCGTCTAATTAGAATTGACCCCCACTTACCGACCCACTTAAATACCAACGTCGTGCTGGCGGCTCCTTTTGGTCTTGACAGCCAGTAATAGGGTAATTAGGGTGGGGGGGGGGGGGGGGGGGGGGGGGNGGGGTGGGGCGGTGGGTACGCGTACACGTGTTCTTTAATTCCACCAGCATAACTAAGTGTAGTTTTACTCGCATCCACACTGAATTGGCAGTAAGATCCAAATAAATGTGTAGGTCATGCAACTGCATCCCAACATAACACAACAGGTTAGGAGTTTCTGTCTGATTAGGTAGAGCGAACACGCCAACTTGCCTGAACTCCTAAAAATGAATCATCTCCTCCACCTGAACCAACTGGAAGCAAAACACCATC